CCCTTAGCAAAGGGCCCTGGACCCCATACTCCCGGAGCACCCCCCACAGGGCGCTGCGAGGGACACGGTCGAATGCCTTCTCCAGATCCACGAAACACATGTGGACTAGTTGGGCAAACTCCCATGAACCCTCTGCCACCCTGAAGAGGGCATAGAGCTGGTCCAGTGTTCCACGGCCAGGACAAAAACCGCATTGTTCCTCCTGAATCCGAGGTTCGACTATCGGTCGAATTCTCCTCTCCAGTACCCTGGCATAGACTTTCCCGGGGAGGCTGAGGAGTGTGACCCCCCTATAGTTGGAACACCCCCTCCGGTCCCCCTTCTTGAAAAGAGGGACCACCACCCCGGTCTGCCAGTCCAGAGGCACCGCCATGCGATGCTGCAGACGCGTGTCAACCAAGACAGCCCCACAACATCCAGAGACTTAAGGTACTCAGGGCAGATCTCATCCACCCCGGTGCCTTGCCACCCTTGGACACGTGGACTGCCGGCACTGAGATTCGAACCTTCAACCTTCTGGTTGGGAAACAACTGCTCTACCACCACCCCGCAGTGGTGCGGTGGTAGAAAGAAACTAAAAATAGAAAAGTAGAAACTAAAATAGAATAAAAGTAGAATAAATAGAATATGGAAACTGAATTCAATTTTCTCCGTGTCCAGAGATCGGGTCGTCGGGGCCCTTGCTTTCGACTGCTGGCTGATCCACTGTGCACCAGCCCCTTATGGATCCTCCTGCGGGTGTTGGGCCCACAGGAGGACATCCCCACGTCGCTCGTTCAGGCTAAGCCCAGCTGGGCCCCGTGGCCTGGCCACCAGGCGCTCGCTTTCGAGCCCTAACCCCGGGCCTGGCTCCAGGGTGGGGCCCTGGCTGCGCCATGCCGGGCGACGTCACGGTCCTTGATTTTTTTTTCTATTCATAAAGGGCTTTTGAACTAAATTCAGGCCACCAGGACAGGCAAAGTAGATCAAACCATTGTGCACCCTCCTCTTCTTGAGCTCTGGGGGCGACAGTGGTGTTGTGGATAGAGCAGTTGTCTCCTAACCAGAAGGCTGAAGATTCAAATCTCAGTGCCTGCAGTCCACATGTCAAAATGTCCTTGGGTAAGACACTGAACCCCCCAAATTGCCCATGATGGCGGCGTGTATGCACATAGCAGCTCAGGGTCCCTTAGCTCCAAACAAAATATCTTTGTACGTGTTAAAATAAAGCTTCTTCTTCTCTTACTGTTATTAGACATTGTCGGCTTCACTGACTTACCACAGTTGCTCTTGTCAGTGTGCACCTACATATGACTGACAGTTCATCTCTGTGGCAAAATGACATGGCATTATGAATGGTGCCCCAACAAGAGCTTATTTCCTTTTCATATGATGTGTGTCTCCTCCTGTATCTGTGCAGGAGCAGCTCCTGGGCCTCGATGTTCAGCGTCATCCCGACCATCTGCTTTGGTTTCCAAGTGAGTACAGCTATTTCAGATGTATTTATGTAGAACTCTTTGAGACCTGGTTAACATGTGTTTGCAACATCAAGCTGTGGTAAGGCCTGACGTGCAGTTGTTTGTTTGTTTGTGAGGTCAAATATGTATAGATGGGGGGGGGAGGGGGGGGGGTGTTGTGGTTGTGCAAATTACAAATACATGCATGTGAATGTATTAAAAAGCCGAACATAGTTCTCTCACACAGGCTATCTATCCAGGCAGACAGTTTGGTTTTACAGTAAAGATTTGAGGTGTTTTTCTGAAATTTCTCTCTCACCCAATAATAGTGGACATAAATGACATTCTTCTGTGGTGGTCAAAACAATGGGAAATTAAATTTGAAAAATCCCCACAGCGACATCTGTTTCCTGAAATCTGTGTTACTGGAAATTCATATTACAGCAGATTCTGTGCTGGCTTCTGTGCTGTGCATGCCACAGAGCAGGGGAATCATTAATAGGCAAATAGCAAGTTAAAAATTCTTAGCATTAGTTAAGACCAGGGTTAGTTTGAAACACACTACTTTGTATATGTTATCTGACCACCTCTGAAGGCAGCAGTGTTCATAGGTGTTTTGTCTGGCTTCTCATCATAGAGAAGTTCAAGATGTGGTAACTGTTCAAATGAGAACAACAGCCCACATCTTGGAACTATTTCTGAAGTAACACAAGGCTTAAATGAAAATTATTTATTCTTTGTCTTTAGTAATTGAACTGTTTTCCATTATAACTTCAATTTTCCATGTCATGTTAAAATCAGATCACAACACAGAAAAGAAAGTAGTGTATTGCATTTCAGAGTTCTCCAGCAGAGGGTAGCATAGACCTCCAGAAACTAAATGCAAAGCCTTGTCTATTTTTCCTGGGGAAGTGACACCATGGATGTATTATAGGGCCTGGATTCCGGATTCAAATATGATACCTAGTCACTTGAATGATAGTTGCTCGCGTGGCACATGATGAACCAGAAAAGTTTTCTAGCCCACACATTCTCCCTCAGCCCATAGACTAAAGCATCACAAAAATCATACTCACTGTTTTAGACTCTTTACAAATTTCAAACCTCCATGGATTAAAAATCTATAATAGAGTAAAAACCAAGCGTGCTTGCAGTTGGAGGTGTCCTGTCAACAGTTTTACAGACACCTTTTATCATTGCATTCTAGGGGGAAATAGTTTTTGGTCCACAGAGGAATTTTTTGTTGCTTTACCACAAGTGGCTACTGGGAAAAATTGTCAGCAAGACTGAGTGGCGGTGCCGTATCCAGCTCTCTTAATAGAGCGATGGGTGAGCTTTTTCTTTTGAAGAAGAGGCGTCATCAGTATCAACATCAATATCAGTTGTAGCATTAACGTTACATATTGCACATGGATAGATAACAATAACTACACTGTGATGATGTCGCAGTGTACTTTTGGACAGGGCGAGCTTAGCAGGTTTCTTGTTTCTGTCTGCTAGCTCTACTTTGTATTTAGAGTGCAAACATGAAAGTATCAGTCTTCTCATCTCAGCAGGGAAGCTATTAAGTGTGTTTCCCAAAATGTCAGACTATTCATTTAATCACACTTGCTGTAGCTTTTTACCACTGGCTACACTCAATAAGGTCAGTGTAGCTTGGGGTCAGAGTTTGAGCTTTCGACTCTCATCCTGTGTGATGATGTGTATTTGTTCCTCTGGAAAATCTAAACCTTACTGTGAACAGTTTTCAGTGGAATTACTTTCTTCAGAAGAACCTGCCCCAGCGACGTCTGTGTAAGACAGACTGCTGTTGTATTTTTAAATGTAATTTTACAATGCTGTGAGCACCAAAAATTTAAATTCCTCCACTGTATTGGAGTGAAAACTTTAATATGAAAAAACCTAGACAAATACCAAGCCTGCCTGCATGGTGAGACCCACTAGAGGTAATGATATAATGACTTTTGGAATTTGGCTCACGCTTCTACATATTTCTTTGTTGGTATTAACGGCAGACCTTTTAAGTGATATAGTGTTTTCTTATTTTTTCAGGAAGGTGTGTTTACCCTTAGGGTGAGTGATTGCAGTGCCAAAGGTTGACAAGGGGGTTGATGAGATCCTGAAAAGAGTGGAAGGGAAGACAGTCCAGAGGAATAGAGATTTAAAACCAGACAATGGCAGCTGAGATCAGGTGGGGACAAGAGTCTATATCTGGACCTCTGATGCTTACCTCACCCTGTGGTGCCACTCAGAGCTCATAGCCTTCCTTTAATCACACTGGCAGAGTGATCAGAGAAATGCCCTGTGGATCTTCACCCTACACTGTGTGCACTCTATTGTTTAGTGGATCTGGGTTTTGTTTGAATCTGGAATAAAAAAACGCAACTGCTGAAATCACCTTGAGGAGTACCTAATTAAGTTGGCTGCTGTGGTCATCAAAATCTTCACTTTCTGCACTGATTTCACATTTTTAGATTTTTCAGTTGACTTTCTTGTCTGTGTGATTACTTCAGTGCCATGAGGCATCTATTGCCATCTACAGCAGCATGGAGAACCAGCAGCTCTCTCACTGGGTCCTCATCTCTGTGGCCTCCATGATTTTCTGTCTTGTCATCTACTCCCTCACAGGTCTGACATGATTCTGCTCTCTCGCTCTTCTACACATCCAGATCTCTCTCCAAACATTTCTAGTACAATGCCAGCTCCAGAGGAAACCTCAGGAAGGAATACAAAGAATGGTGTTTAGGTGGTTTGACTTTGGTGATTTTCTGATGCTTCCTCTGGTGCCATAGGCAGGTTGGAGTTTTCACTTTATTTGGTCAAGTATCTCAATATCCATCATATGGATTGTCACAAAATTTTGTACCAACATTCATTGTTCCCAAATGATGTATTGTAATGACTCTTGTGATATCAAGTTTTCCTTTAGTTTCATCATGAAGTTGATATTGTTTTGAGTAAAATGTCTTGACAACTTTAGAATGTGCTGTCATGAAATTTGATTCAAACATCAAGTTCTCCTCAAGAGGAGATGGAATAACTTTGTTACCTACAGAACTAATGACATTCCTCAGCCTCAGTTGTAGCTACTTTGTATTTAATTTCCAGAAGGCAGCATGCTAACACTCTTAAGATAAAATTGGGAACACACTAGCATGCTGATGTCAGCATTTAGCTCAAACCAAAGCACACTATCATATCACAGCTATGATAATTATGAATTTCTGACTTGAAACATTTGGTTTTGAAATCAGATTTTTTTTCCTGACAGCTCTAATATATTTGACTTAGCACTTCATAATACTGTACAGAAGTGGATGAACATCAAGCAAATGGACATTTCACATCAGCCAAAGTTCATCGTTCAATGTAATTAAACCCACATTCAGTGGATATAGTCTTCCATGGTTTGTTCAGAGTATTTTTAACTTGCACAGCAAACTCTGCATTCACACAGCTGTCCTTATTTGTACTGAGTGAATGCTTTCAAGTCATTGAATTAGGAACATTTCCCATCCATGTGACATGACATGAACCTAACATAAGTACAGCCTCACACAGCAGCTAGCATGCTGTAGACTTTTTACCTTATTTCCTTCAAATACTGAAAATGCCAGATGTACCATTTGGTGTAGCCAGTGGTTGTTGCTGGATTAGGATTAAGAAAACACTGCCCCTCTTTTTCTGTCGCAGGGGTTTATGGGTACCTGACATTTGGAAAGGATGTGAAGGCTGACATTTTGATGTCATATGCCAGCGATGACATTCTGATGCTCATTGCCAGGCTGCTGTTCGGAGTCTCCATCATCACTGTCTATCCCATCATCCTGCTGTTGGGCAGGTCAGAGCCCTACAGCTGAATTTTGTTAAAGACTCATTCATCTTGTTGGCTGTTTCAGTGAAATTACATTATCTAAGGTCATCTGAAAAGTTAAGATTACATTTAAATAACATTTCCCACCTTATAGGTCTTTATAATAAATCTTACCTGATATGAACACTTTGAATTTGAAACATTTTGAATAAGATTGTCAAAAACTAGCTCACAGTTCAGACAAAATAAGAGAGAACACATGATTTGAATCAAAAGTAAAAATAAAGTAAATGGATAACTCAATCAAAACTGTGTAGAGGTCAGTGATATCAGTAATGAAAGTAAAGGCAAAGATGAGTGAAGAATGCTGTGTGCTGAAATCAAAACCAACAAAAGCAGGTGAATCCTGACCAAGTGAATCTCCTCACATTGATGACTGTTAGGCTGGTTACTTCATGAAAGGAGAACAGAGACCAAGCCAACCAGCCAGGTAGACCAGGAAAACTGGCCATACTGATTGATTAAATGCTCTCATTTCTGAACATCAGATCAGTGATCCAGGACCCCCTGCTGAGTTGGTGGCAGAGGCGTTACGGCGTGGTTACAGTGGAGTTTGAAAGCCGCAGCCGCTACACACTGACAGTCTTGTGGATTGCAGTGACGCTGCTCATTGCCATCTTTGTGCCAGACATCAGCAGGGTCATCAGTGTCATTGGAGGGATCAGTGCCTTTTTTATCTTTATCTTCCCAGGTAACACTCTGGTTATAGATTCATATTTGGTCAGATGTGTTGCAACCCTCAATCCCTGTGTTTGTGTTTTAACAGGACTCTGTCTGGTGTTTGCCATGCAGTGTGAGCCAGTGTCCTGTAAAACCAGGTGAGGAAAACCTCATTTAAATGTTAATGTCTGGATGATGACCCAAAGAAATACTCAACAGACAATGAATGAATGTAGTTAGTAAAATCATTTGGACTGTCTGAGTGGGTGTTTGTCAGTATGTTCACCCTATGACAAATCCTCAAAATGTCATGTTTTTGAGGTGTTAAGTTTTTGTCAGAACAAAAACATAACACCTCAAAAACTTAATACCTAAAGTTTGTTTTTGCCTGATGATGTCTTCCTGCCACTCCAACCCCTCATTTGCCCAATGCTTTGGACCAGTTCACGATATTATAAATATTGTATAATATTATGAATAAGCCAATGATTTTTAAAAAATCCTTGCCTTCAATGTACAGTAGGAGCCCCCACCCCCAGCCCCAAGCCAAAATCTTTACCGTTAGGTGACCAATCCTCCACCCACACACTGTACATATACTATATATATTTTTGCAGACAGACATCTGCCCTCGTTAAAATTTGTGCTTGTGCTCAACAAAGCTTATGTGCACATCGCTGTGACATGTAATGAGCACATTTTGGTTTTCCTGAGGTTGGACCCTTGCTATTTTACTACTTATTGATACAAGCTTTGGTCTAGTGTGGCCCTCAGGTCAAATTTGTTTTAACTTTTATTTGAATGACCCCAAGACCTGTTCTCTATTACCACCCTGACTTAATATTTCTAGCCTAAGAACAGCAAAGGCTTTCAAAAGTTTTGCACTTTAGTTAGTGCATCTTGTACTGTTACAACAGGAGCTACATGACAATTTATCATTCTCTTTGAGGAAGGGATGGATGTGCCAGATCTCTATATAATCTGTCCAGGAGTATTTCTGATATTCTACTCAAAGCCACAAATCTGAACCTTCTGGTGGTGCTAGGGAAAATCTGAGTAGTATCAATCAGTAGGATTCACCCTCTGGGAACCATGAATGTCTGTACCAAATTTCACAACAGTCTGTCTAATAGCTTTTGGGAAGAATAAATCAAATCAAATCAAATCAAATGTTTCAGTCTGGACCAAAGTGGTGGGCTGACCGACAGATGCAGCTATCACTTGGGCCATGCTGCAATTGAAACTTACTCATTGTCTTAGTGAGGGTGCTACATTCAAATTCAGAACTGCTATCCCATCAGGATGCATTTCTGGTGATGAGTGGTGTAATGGATGCCTGCATAATTTGCTGCAGATTACATTAATATTTGTCAATTCTACCTGAACCTGTCTAGAGTCGTCCTCACAGCCTGGGGAGTGGTGACCCTCATCTGCGGAACCTTCATCTTTGGCCAGAGCACCACCATTGCTGTCATGCAGCTCCTCAGAAAGATTTGACTCTTACACTTCCCTCACAGATCCAGGTGTTTTTACTGAAACAGTGTGAGTACATCTGAACTTGTACTCCTCCCATACCCTACCCTAAAGAGCCTCTGGTGAATTATTTCCATTATAGATTATCTCTTAGATTATCTGGTAGCAGGCAGCTGGTGAGTGTGTGGGTGCTGGTAAAGAGGAGGTGGTTCTGGAGACAGCAGTTATTGCAAAGGTGCCCGCATGCCTCTCACAAATTTTGGAACAGACAGGTCAAAGGCCACAGTTCATTCAGAAGGGCTGCGAAATAGTGACTACTGGTGAGATTAGCCAATTGTACAGTGATGGTGGCTGGACAGCTGAGTGGGCCTGGCTTTCAGATGAAGCTGCCTAAGTGAGCCTATGTTGCTTTTACTGATTAGCAACCACTGTGACTGCAGGTGACACCTATGGGGTTATGCCACCGCTGTTTAGCAATTAGCTAAAGTGCAAAGCTATTGGAAGTGGAACATATACAGCAGTATTTACCAATTATTTTTTTTACATTAGTAATCTGTCCAGCCACCACCATAAGCTACAGGTCATACCAGACAAAGTACACTCCTGAGTGTACTGAACATTTTGTATCTTATGGTAAATGGACTGTATTTATATAGCGCTTTTTCTCACAGTGTGTTGCACTGGCCAAAGCGCTTTACAGGAGATCATACACCATTCACCCATTCACACACCGATGACGACAGGCCGCCACACTAGTCAAGCCACCGGGAGCAATTCAGGGTTCAGTGTCTTGCTCAGGGACACTTAGGCATGCGGGGAGACCGGGAGTCGAACCACCAACTTGCTGGTTAGGCGACGACTGCCCTACCTCGTGAGCCACAGCCATCTTATGAATGTATCCTTTTATTGGTAAGCAAAATAAGGGGCTATACAGTATCTTCTACATAGACTTCCTTGGTGCACTGGATCATACAGTGGAAAGTTTTTTTGATATAATTAGCAAATACTAGTGGAGCTAGATGAACATCTGTAAAGTAGGTCAGCAGTTATTTTCTGTTCATCAGGTGAAACGGCCTAATGATTGCTCAAGCCACAGAGCATTTATTGTTTGTTTGGCTGAGGGTTGAAGAGTTGAAAGTAGTATGAAGTGTATGTTAGGTCACTTATAAAGGTGCTATAAAGTTAGGGCTAGTGTCACCTGTCACATGGGACCTAAAGATGTATAACAGCATACCCACTATGTGGCCTAGTAATAGGTCAGAGCATAATTTAACATTCATACTGTGCTTTTATAGGAATTCTCACCCAACCTTTGGCATTTAGCTAAATGTGCGTCTGTTTGGTGTTTAAGTTTACATGTAGTAGGTGAACTAAAACACCAGTGGTCATGCAGCTTTTGTATTTAAACCTTTGTCTTTACTCATCAAAAATGGCTTGGATAATGGACACAACACTGCACATTTTTTAGAAACAAATTTAGGGTTTCAGCAAACTGCATTGTGATTGACCAGATGTGTTCCGGACAGAAACTTCATTTACAGTATGAATGAATTTAATCACAGACCTTTCAGCATGAATTAAGCAGTTATGAATCATGTGCCATTTAAAATCAAAGCCAAAAAGCAGTTTTAAGTTTTACAGTTTTATTGAATTGCATCACTCTACATAATATAGAATTTCAACCAGATATTCTTTAAAGACCAAATATAATACTTGCATCCCTGCAATAAGTCTCTATACTTAAGAAGAGAAAGCTGTTTTACTAAAACATACATTAAGAATTAATATTTCATTAAAAGTGAATGTTAATGTATACCATGTTTCTAGTCATATATTTTACATAATAGATTTTAGTCTCTGTCTGCTTCATAGGAATACTAGAAAAGAAAGAAGGTAAGAAATGCACAAAACCCATTGAAGAGTAGCATGGCCTAATACTACAGCAAAGAAGTTACTGGACATTCAGTTTACATGCACTCAATTGAAGGATAGAAAAGAACACAGCCATAGAAGGGAAGAGTTACTGCCTTGATCTTGGTCAATTTGGCAAATGCCAGATTGGCTCGGTATTATGTGACAACACTTCTTGAGATAAACTGGGTGACGTGTCCTCTCCACCGCTTCCCTACAGCTACATAAAGTGATGCTGCCAACAGGAGGCCTAACCATTTCATACTCTGCTGTTAAGGCTTTTCATGTTAGCAGAAAACATTCAGAGGCCTATCTCACTACAATTCAGTGGCATAACTCTTTCATTATATGACAAAGCACAGGTTGCACTGAGGAGTAGGAGAATAGAAAAGAGCAGGTTGCACAGTCTGAGGGACATTCAGGAATGTATGAGCAGGAAACAGTACTGGCATTTCTGACAGTTCACTCACTGTCTACCTCATATACACAATCCAACCAAGCCGGGCACAATGTACAGGAAAGAAACCCTTGATTAGAGCATGTGGGCTGCATTCAGTTGGGCACATACTGAGAACTGTAAAACTATGGCTATCAGTACAGTAAAATCACTGACATGTAAACATCAATCCATGCAATATGGCTTTATATTTCTATACAGCAGCCCCTTCTTAAACACATTCAAGAGCTTTTAGTGGCACAAGAGTGCAAGTAGTTTTACTTTTTAACAAGTGAAAGGTTAAAGGTGCACTGTGGAGTTTTCTTGTAAACAAACCAAACTAGTGTTTAATATTCAGTATTTCTCACTCTGTTATTAGCTTAGCTGCAGTTTAAGATTTAGGATAGGTTTAAAGTTGTTTTGTCTGGAACAATACCACATGGCCTCTAGGGATGCAAATGTCAAGCAATTACTTGAATCCATAGTTGGCCACATTAACAATAAATAACTGGCTAATCAAACAATTTATCAAATACATTTTCCATAATAAACTCATGTTTTATTTACTGATGTGATCTATGTTTGTTGTAAAATCTGAGCAAATTGGGATTTAAAAGAACAGATTAAATAAACACCAAGTTACTTGAGTTACAAATTAACCAACGGAAACTACTGCCTTCTTTCTAAATTGCAGAGCTTCCACTCATGCTTGTCGCTATTCATCAATTGGCCTATTTCACAATGATGTCAGGTAGTAAATAGTGCCTTACATTCTGGGATTTTTTTAGGGGCTTGCTAGCAAAATGACAGCAGTAAGACAGAGAATACGATGTACATTTTGTATAAGGGATATCCCTATTAATGACATTTCACTGATAACACATCATCATCTACTAGCATAACTGTTAAGCTGTTGTTTTTGTGTGGTACGTAGCTGTGATGGTATTCAATTGACAACAAGTAATGCTTGTATAACCACACATTAACTAAGTCATCTGTGAAAAGTGGCCATTTAAACTTAATTTAACAGCCTCTAATGCAGTTGGTTGGTTAAACTTTTATTCATTCAGGAAATCTCAATGAGATCAAAATATCTTGTAACACTAATACCCTGTATTAACATTACAGTTGTGAAATTGCTACTACCTATGCACCATATGTGCAGCTTAATGGTTAGATTAGCTAGTAGATGATGTAGCATTAGTAAGGTTTCCAACTTCCAGAAATGGAAATAAGCAAGCCCCAGGGGGTTTAGGAAAACATTTCAGTCATTAGTGCAAGCACATTTTAGATTACAGATGGAATCTTCTAAATAAAAGAACAATTAATGATTGAAAATGTATCTATACAGGGCAAATGAACTATGGAACACAGCCTCTGGAGATGCCTGGCAGACAAAGAACTTTAACAGTTCTCCTTCTCCCTGTGTCCTCCCGCTCCTTTTGTGATTTTCTCCAGATACATGCTGCTTAATGTCATAAATTCCTCTGTGACTCATTGAGAAAGCCTGGTAATAGACAGTGCAGTACTCCTTATACACATTGTCATTCACACATTCCAGCCATTTCTATTCATTTTCCCATTCCCTTCTGTATTCTTGCAACCTTTCCCTTGTTTTTTGCCAGTGGACTAGGATGATGGGCCACCATTTTTAAAATCCTGTGCCACCTCTCATGTGTATTGCAGCAACAATGACAACGCTTGTCATTGGTCCTGAGTCATGACCAGTGAGAAGTGCCTTTTCTGTCTGGGTAGTGGATGTTCCACTGTGGAACAGGACAAAGGTTGCAAAAATACAGAATAGAATGGGAAAATGAATAGAAATGGCTGGAATGTGTGAATGACAATGTGTACAAGGAGTACTGCACTGTCTGCTACCAGGCTTTCTCAGTAAGTCACAGAGAAATTTGTGAAATTACACAGCATGTATTTGGAGAAAATCACAAAAGGAGCGGGAGGACACAGGGACAGGGAGAACTATTAAAGTTCTTTGTCTGCCAAGCATCTCCAGTCTTTCATAGTTCAGTTGCCCTAAATAGATAATTCCAATAATTCATAGCTCTTTTAATTAAAAGATTGCATCTGTAATCTAAAATGTTTTTGCACTAATAATTGAAATGTTTTCATAAATCCCCCAAGCGTCCCTTATTTCCATTTCAGGAAGGCAACCCTAATAGCACCATTGTTGGTCAAAAACACAACAGTGATGGTGAGATGAAGACTCACTTTGGTGTTGAGGCTTCCCAGCCGATAGTTTCACCAAAAGGCTCATTTCATGAAGCTTCGTTTCTGAAATGCTTGTACTGTCTTGTTTTGGGGTATTCTTGATATGTTTTTCAGAGATCCTTACAGTGTCTGTTGTTTAGTCTCTACTACTGTTGATATACAGGGTTTTTCCCATTGTGGAATTAATTGTGGGAGTAATATTCCAGTTCTTGATTTCTCTCAAGCGCTATGTTTTGTCTTGTCTTTTAGGTATTTTTGATTTGCTTCTCGGAGGTCCCTATGGTGTTCATTGTTCTTGTGGTGTTTTGTTGTTTGCTCTCTATTACTGCTGGAACACTGGAATTTCCCCATTGTGGGATCAATAAAGTCTTACCTTACCTTACCTTAGGAGCTCATTATTACTACATCTAGAGGACTCATTTTGTATAGCAAACAGACCCTGACATATCACAAGCTCCATGCTGTACCACATAATCATAATCATATTATGAAAATAGAGCATCTAGTAATGTTGCAGTCTTCACTGATAGCTGTCAGTGATGTTGTTAGTTTTGTTTACAATAAAATGCTTATTTGACCTACTGTATGTGCTTGTGTAACTGATGAGGGTATTTGTTAGTGATTTTTATTTAGAAATAATAGTCTGCCCAAAATGTTCACAAACAGGTCATTCTCTTTGTCTGTAGCTCCATTTGATAACAGATGCTGTCTGATAAGTGTCATATAGGCCTGCTGATAGGAACAGAGGGAACCATCTATGTGAACAGGCCTTTACTCAATCCACTTGAAGCACAAAGCAAATCATTCATGAAATTCTGGCAAAGCAAGGCCCCATTTGTCATTGGTCACAGGACAGTTAGGTTAATGGCACAAGCTTCGAAGTGAGGCTTCATTTGGAAACGCCCCCTCTGCTCAACACAAGCTTCAACACTTAGGTGTCACACATAACATCACTACCACAGAGTACCTTTAACACAAATACAGAGATTAATGGAGACATTTCACAGATAACGCAGCAACACTTTTGCAAACCTACTGTAATATGTATTTCGGTGACAGTGTATGTAATAATACTCAACATTTCCCCATTCCACCAATTCCTGCCCTGCTCAGTGCAGTCCAGTACTCTAAAAGAAGGTAACGGTGCTAGAACAACATTAGCATCAGTGTAGCTGGATTCCCACTCACTGTTACCACAGTACTACTAGATGACAGACTGGCTATCATTCATAGATGAAAAGAGAGAAAACAGGCCCAGCAGTGAGGTGAACGGTACAATGGCATCTTTGAAAATATAGCTCTATAAAGAAGATGTGATTTATCAGCAAATATGTAACTCTCTTATTATATTCTTATATATTTGTATTATTTTGCTGCTTAAGGTGCCTTAGATTTTGTGTTACTTATTGATCTACTTTATATTTCATTTGTATTTTGTGGCATTCATGTGGACGGCAAAGTAAGAATTTCATTGTACTGGGAAACACGTTTCCTAACTGTGCATATGACAAATAAACACTTTGAATTTGACTTTGAACTAGGTAAACATTAATACTATATTTATCTAAAGTGTCTCAACATACTCACTGACCTCTTCTATACCATACAGTATCTTTAAGTTACAGTAGTCACTCATTTTTACATTGTGCTTTCTGAGTGAGAGTATGATTGTTTTACTGTGATGGGCTTGTAATTGTGTTAATGGTACTGAGGTTAGGTAAGGTGTCTGGGTGATTTTGACCTGAATCTGATCTCCATTCACCCTGTGGTGAATGGGTGAGATCTGGACCAAACAGCAACAAAGATCGGGTGCAGGTGCAGAGGTGGGTCAGATCAAATCAGTTGAGAACATGGGAGCAGACAAAAACGTTGCAAAAATTAGAAAATACTTCAGGTATTCAGTTAGGATTATATACTGTAGAGTAACTGTATTGGGCAAAAAATTGGAAAGGTGTAGGTTTCAATCTACTTGCATGTGTATGGCTTGTGGAAAGAAACAGAGGCAAAAAAATACACACTGCACAAAAGGAGATGAATATAGACCTCAATCATCTGTTGAAAAGCAGAATGTACTGTCATACGTCATGTCACAATAATATGCCCAGCAGGGTTTTGTGAGGATCGTTTGGCCTCATTTTAGAAAGGCTAGCTGATCAGACCCATCCTGCAGTGGATTCTCAATACTAGTGGGATGCAGGTTATAGAGGAATTTTTATAATGTCCTTCTGTTGAGTTATACGTAGGTTGCAAGGCCTTTTTCCCTATTGTGTTTTTTTTTTTGCACTTAGTGTTGGGGTCAATAGTATACAATATACACTAACCGGACACTTTAGTAGGTACACCTGTACAATTGTATGCAATTCAGTACAACACTTCCACCTTAATATCTGTGTTTATGGAGCTCAAAATGTTTCAGTTTTTGGTGAAATGGTCATAAATGTATGAATTAAGTTATATGCTTATTATTGAAGTCATAGTTAAAGGTGGTGTTATATTGGACTACATTATATTCAGAGGTGTTCCTAATATTCTGAGCCTCTCATATATGTAGCTGGGGAGGACAAAAATATAGAGACACATATACATGATCACTGTGTATTAGACATTGATGCTGAGGTGGTTGATCTGTCAGTTACAGTATGCCAAGTGATGGGAAGTTCTATTCCAAAGTCAAGGTTATTCTTCTAGTATTATTTTGATAACTGAACAAGGCTGGTGTATAAATACTGAATGCAATTTGTCAAACAGTCTTTGTGTCAATAATGCAACATGGGCCTGGTGTGTAATCTGATGCCAAGAGGTCTACACTGACAAACCACTAGTGGGCATTTTACTACTTACTGGGAGTTTACATCCCATCAAAAAAGGAACAGTCATGTTCTGAAAACCCTTCAACTCTTCTCTAGCATGTGGTGATGTTTAAGGCTTTAAAGTCAACGTCATTCAGATGAGTGTTTCTGATGGTAGATATTCTGATTCAAACAAACTGTTAAGAGAAGCTGCAGAGCCTATCAAGCTACTGTCACTTCCACTGAGGAAATATTTCTACCATAGCACTAAAAGATGTCAATAAATACAAATATAATGATCATACACCACATTTCATTATGTACAATCTCCACTAGAGTTACACAACTAATATAAGATACCAATTGCCAGCTCAGACAAGGAATACACAAAAACAAGGCAAAAATAAAACAAAATAAAGCTGCCTTTTTCTCTCTACTCTCAAGGTACTGTAGCAGCAGACCCTCGTGTAAGTCAGAAACGATCCTCTGTCAGCACAGCGTTCTATTCACCTCACCTCTTAGATGATCTTGATGTCAGTGCAAATTAATGTTAACCCCAAAGTGTTAAATGAAATAAAAGCTACATGAAGAAATAAGAATACATGTTTCTCTATGTGTCAGCATGTACATGCCTAAATCATTTACTGATAAAATCATGTCCGGCTTCACAGACATTTAGGTTTGGGGTTTTAATGCTAAACATGCTAAATAAGTTCATAGGCTACCATCGTAGACATTAATCCCACAGCAGCCATTGTGAAGAACAAGGGGTATAGAAACTTGTTAATCACACACACACACACACACACACACACACACACACACAAAAATAGTGTGAAAAAATAGAGGTTCACGCGTTATGCCAATGTATGAGGGGCCCTTTAGGAAATAGGCTGTTGTGCACATGCCTGTCAAATACTCGCACATATGCATGTAAAACATTCTTAAATATGAAACGCACATACTTGTATATATGTATATGAAATACACAGTACTGTTGTCATGTAAAACATTCTTACATACATTAAACACTGTCACAGATAATTTGTGTGCATACATACAAATGAACATACACACAACCTGTGAAACATTTTTACAGATACATGTGAGACACACACACACAATCACAATTGAGAGGCACTTGAAATCATGCATATAAATACTGTACCTTTGTGAGACTGAAATATTTTTGCGATATGTGCTTCATGTAATGTATGAGCGTAAGTATTTCAGTTACATTCGCAAGAAAAAGTAATGGCTTTGTTTGCAATTTCCTGGTTTTCTGCATAAATTGGTCATAAAATGTAGTCTGATCTTTACCAAAGTCTCAAATATCAACAAACAATATTTCTATGCTGATAAAACACAAACAGTCATGATCTTTCATGTCTAATTAACACACCCTTTAAACATAAAGTGATGGTGGAAAAAGTAATGGCAACATAAGGCTTCTGATGTCACTAAATGCCAACTAGTCAGGTATAAACCTGGAGTCCAATCAATAAAGCGAAATTGGAACAGTGGACAATTGGAGTTAGACACACTGTCTATTAATGGAGACTATCTGTTACTGTGGCTACTCTCCATATAGCATAAGATAGCACTCAGTCACTTCAATAATGATGAAAATTCAATAAAAATTGTTCACCTGGTTCACATAAGCCAAAAGGTTTTCTATCTTCTGGGTCTGATTCTGGCTTGTGTGGCCCACTGTACATAAACTTTAGTGCTTCCCCCGCTTCGCCAACTTGCGTGCTCCATCTTGGAACATAAACTTACACTGGTCACTGGAGAAAACTGGCTCGCTACCGAAGCACACTGTATTCATCAAAGGAAAAGTGGAATATGTTCTCATGATTATGACAAAAGATCCTGGTATCCAGCACCCAATCTACAATCTAGTCCTTCCAATTATAGCAAAATGCCTTCCAGATATACCGAGATTTACTTTCTCACACACATAACTGAAAAATGTTTCTATTGATGTATACCTCAACATCCTCATCTCTGCTACCTCCATCTCTGTCTCTTGTCTTTTCTTCACTGCTACAGTCTCTAACCCATACAGCATAGCTGGTCTCACTACCGTCTTGTGCACCTTTCTCCGCCCACTCCAACCCACCTGCACTTGCCTCTTCACCTCTTTCCTACACTCCCCATCGCAGTGGACTGTTGACCCCAAATTTCTATTGATGTATATATACAGTACCACTAAAAATATTTAGATCTCGTAAATGTGCAGTTGTTTATATACTTGATTTCAAGTGCCTCTCAGGTGTGATTGTTTCACATATAAATATACTAATGTGTGAGTATTTCATATGTACACACATGTGCACACTGAAATTAGATTTGGAAAGGTAGCGTCATACATTCATGGACTACACATTAGCAGACATTTAAAACTTAAGGTTCAACCTTGGTTTTCTGATAGCATAAGTGTGCATGGGAGCGTATCAAGCTAAAGCTTGAAAGACAACTTTCTACCTTTGATGCTCTCTATTGGTGTACTGAAGCAGTAGTAAAACTCTTCATAAAATTTTGTTATTTTTCAATAAATTAATTCAAGGTGTCATATGTTGTATCTTATGACCGCCAGCTAGTAAGCTAGCTAACCTTCAGACTAAATCTGAGCATTCGGTTTTCCTGAGATTGCAAGCTACTGTAATTTGACAGCTAGGTCTGTCGATAGTGTTCATTTAATCAACATGTTGACGTGAATTCAGAATGGCTGATATAAGAATAATGTCCCAACTGTTCAGCTACAAAACATAAAAATGTAATTATTTTAACACTGCATATGAGAGCAAAAGAACAGCTACTATGAAAGCTTCATAGACAAGCCAATCTGGTGAGACAGGTGAAAAAGGCTGTATTCCCACTACCCAAAAACTGTAACTGCTACATGAAAAACTCAACCCTGGGGTCCATGCTACATGACAAACTCCACCTTACAGTGGGTCAAAGCTACTTGAAACATGAACATGAAACAATCCAAAATCTTGAGCCTGCAAACTACCATGGTGAGATGCAAATTCTTTGTAGCAATATCATATTATATAATGCACTGTTTGTTCAATGTTCACTGCAGTTGACACCATTCTTTTACACTGTGTAAACATGTACTTACAAAAAGAGTTGAGGAATGTGAGGGTTGAAAGAGGAGAGAAGGGGTGGGGGTGGAGGATGAGAGTGCTTGAAATGCAGGGAGGGAAAAGGAAGTGGGAAGCATCCAGGAATCTTGGTGTGTAGTTGAATATCTTCAAACTCAGTCCCTGTTCACGCTGCACCAGGCGGCTACAAATAGAGAGAGGTAGTAGAGGTTAGAGAATGAATGAGACTGAAAACAAAAGGAGCCCCAGAGGAAAGCACAGACAGAAAGACGTGAGATAGAATGAGAAGAAATAGATTGAATGGAGATGAGGAGAAATTGACAAGGCAGAGAAAGAAAGAAAACTGTGCGAGGGTGGAGAAAGAGAAGAACAGAGGGCAAGTGGATAAAGAATGAGAAAGATAAAAATACAAGTGCCCATCTGCTAGACATCACCTCAAGTCACTGACTAGTGTGAGGTCTATACCTCAGAGCAGCTTCATGTTAGTATGCAGCCAGCTTCAGTGACAAACAATAAAAACACTTTCTCAGGATTTGGTTTGCTTTGTATTTGCTCTGCACTAGTGGATCATTTCCTTACTTTCTACAGACTAAATTCAATTCTGGTTTGTTATATACTTTTTTATTCAGTACTAAACAGTTTCATGGTTTATCAGCTACAGTTTTGATAATTGGTTAATAATTTGTTTTATAAAGAAATATTTTAACTTCTCAAATGTAAGGATTTGCTTTTTTTCTCTGTTTTATATCTTTACCATATTTGGACCATTAGATAAACAGGCTACTTTAGGATATGCTCTCTGGCTGAGAATGCTAGTTTCTGATATTAGACAAACCAAAAAATGAATAGATTATTTGAAAATAAAAATAAAAATCAGCAGATTGTGTGCTCCACTCAAATTAGAAGACACACAATAGCAAGATTAAAGTGAACAAAAAAAAACCATATGGCCCAAATTGTGTGCATAAGAGGCTGAGATATCAGATTCACACCATCATCACAACCCAGTTTGACCAAATGCTGCTTTGGAACAGGGTTTAGAACTGAGTGTACGCAATTCACCACAGTCTTCTATGCAACACCAGTTGTTGGTAGTAATGTACCTAGCTTGGTTTTATGACTAACAACAATGAAGAGACATGAAAAAAAAGTCTGTGGCACGTTGGGCTCACAGTAAATATGATTCACATCAGACACTATGAAGCACAGCGTTAGCTCAGGCATTGAAGTTGCAGTGGTATCAGCTAGACTGCATCAATGTCTGACATCGCTGGCTTACAGATGCATCATGCATTTGCTACAAGTTGTCATCCAGTCATATTCATACACATATTTTTTGGGGGACTTACTAAACTGTATCTTTTAATCTGCCAATTCTCCAGTGCCAACGCTGAATTCTGCACACCTCCCTCCACCACTCATCTATCTCCCCATGTCACTGAAGCTGTAGTATTATCTTGCTAAGCTCACGTTCATACTTTTGTATCTGTTCCTGTGTCCTAAGTGTTGAGGGATTAGCTCTCTCAACAGGATCCTTTTCACTCTCCATGAATCCCAAACCCTACACTTCCCATAATGCAAATCTCTGCTGGGAAAATGACCATGTGTGGTAAACTCAGACTCACACAGACTTTGACAAAGTTTGTTCCAGTGACTGATGATAAAAGTAAAGTTCACCTGCAGCACTTATTTTATTCTTTAGTATTTTACCACTGACCTGGCACGGCTACTGAGGACACGGCCTCTGGCTGGCACAGTGTATCCACCTTCACATGCTGAAAGGCTTTGTTGGGGGGTGACTGGAGGTGCCTGGAATCAGAGGGAGAAGATGAGAGAGCACACGCACAGCTACAGACTTTAATGTGTGTGCATGTGTGCGTGCATCTGTAGCCATTCATAAATGCATGCATGCACATGTAGCCTCAAATCACTTAGCACGGCCCTTAGCCTTTACTGTAAGAGCTGAAATATTAATGGCAGTGAGACCCTGTGTGCAGTGGAGCAGAAACTCAGATTGGCAGACAGCTACATCAGCAGCCTCTCCTCATGGCCTGTGCATCACAGAATCATGGCGACCTGCTGCAACTCGAATGCGTCTGTAACTCTGGACCAAGCCAGTGGCTGAGGAATGTTAATTAAATGTGGATGGAGGAACTGCAATCACCAATCAATGAAACAACAGCAGGATGCTCAGTTCCAAAAAACCTTCAGAGGTGCCAGTGTGCTGACTCAAAGGCATTTTCAGAAACAAAATGAATGTCCTCCGTGCTGAATAATTAATGTAATACCTTTACCAAGGTTGAGCACTGGTAATGTTACATTAAGAACCATTTGTCAGCAATCACATATGTTTCATTCTGCCAACTGCATTGGCTCGTTTTAATATCACAGCAGGACAGCTACTGTAAATACATTTTTTATGCTTGTCCACACAAGTCAGAGAGGATGACAAAACTCTTAACACTGACATAAGTGACAAATATTAGCAAGAATTTTAGTTAGATAATTAGTTTTAAATTTGAAATAGTCTTTCTGAAGAGTGTGTTAAGCCAAGTGTGATTGAAAACTCACCGCTTCCACTCCTCTTCTCCATCCCAGAACTCATAGACGACGAAGGACAAACCATCTGGCAGACGCACAGCAGTCACACTAGAGCAGAGACAGAGAAGAATGGGAATGAGAGGATAATAGAGAAGAGAAGGTGGAGCATGTAGGGTAAGGAGGTGAAAGTCATGACAATGACAAGCAGATCATAGAGGAAGGAGGGATGTGAAGGGACATATACAGTAGATTGATAGTATATATGATGGCAGAAGAGGAAAGAGTTTAAAAAGAAAAGTGGAACAGTAAACAAAAAGAGATAACAGGTGCAATGGACACATCAGTCACATGTACACATTAAAGACACAATGTTTAAATGTGAGATACTTGGACAAGAGATAATAGTGGGTGGTGAATTATTTCCCAGGTCTGCACAATATTGATGTCACAACACTTAACACCAAGGTAAGGGCATAGACATTACAAACCGCCATAAAAATGAAACTTGCAGTTATATAGTGGAGCAATGTGTGAAGAGTTCAGTGCAAATGAAGGGTATTAGATGTTTCTGAGCAATTCCTGAGGATGCACTTTGCTGTAGTGAACAAGAGTTCCACATCATCTCTAAACTACACAAATATGTATGTTGAGGTGTGGGTTCACCACGGTGCTGAAAGCAATTCACAGGAGGTCTGAGACCACTTTAAGGGCTGCAGGGGTCAACTGGAACCACATTCATGCTGCAGTGATCTTGGCACTACATGTACTTAAAGAGAAGGTGTTATTCTGCTAGAAATGTCAAAGAGACAAAGAATGAACAATCCAAAAAAGACTGCAGGCCATCACCAGCAATATTTAGGTTTAAGGTTGCATTAAAATATTGCCTTATCTCTAAGCAGTAGCTTTGCTGCTGACTGTACTTTTTATGTCATGCTGGCAACTACATGTCATAATGGAAACAGTCCAGTCATGTCCTGTCAGTCATAAATAATCCAATTATGTTGAAGATACTGTATGTCCACTGTAGTGTTACTTGTTGCTGTATGTACCGCCATAGCCCCAGTTTGTGCCTCTCGTGCATTACCATTCACTTTGAGTCACAGTATTGGATTCTCTGAAGAAAGACAGTAGTTCCTAAAAAGAAGAAAAAAACTGCAATTTTGCAATCCTTACCTCTGTTCTAATGGTAATGCCACAATCCATAATGACCCTTACAGTCAGCTGGATGAAAGATATTATGATGACGCTTGTATGGAATAAAAACCTTTTTTCAAGTTGGGTCTCTTTCCAATCCAAGTAGCCAGAGACGACAGCTATCAATTCTAGTTGCCATCTTTGTTTGGATTAGGAAACCTTTTTCCATCCAGATGGTCATAAGGGTCTCTGAGAATTCAGCATTTTAAGTGTTGTTTAATAACCATTTGGGCCTTTCAGATACTGGTGTATTTAAATATTGTTTAGAAACCATGATGCTTAGCTCTATAACTCGAATGTAATGTAATACAATTTATAATAAATGTAAGTACACCCTGTGCAATATCAATAAAAGTTTTACGGAATCAAATTTGTACTGTGTTACAATTGTATTATTTTTAATTAGAAGTATTAGGGTATTGCCAGAGAACATTCTCCATGCAACGGAAGTCAGTTAATCTTCTTCTTTTTTCAGCTGTTTCCGTTGGGGGTCGCCACAGCGAATCATCTGTTTCCACCTAACTCTGTCCTCAGCATCCTCTACTCTCACCCCAGTTAACTTCATGTCCTCTTTTAGCACATCCATATATCTCCTCTTTGGCCTTCCTCTTGACCTCTTGCCTGGCAGCTCCATCTCCAACATCCTTCTACCAATATAACCACTATCCCTCCTCTGCACATGTCCAAACCATCTCAATCTGGCCTCTCTGACCTTGTCCCCAAAACA